AGCCTGTTGGGCGGTATACAGTAGGCGCTATACATACATTACCATACCTTAGGCGCAAGCGAATCCAAAACGTGTCTACAGCTTAAACCCCTCGTTCCATAGCGTTGCCGACGTGTAGGTCTAAACGATAGTACAGAAGAACACCGCCTTCCTTATTGGGTCGGTCGTTGCGCCATACCGAGATACTAGTAAGTGAGATCTGTGCTACAGTAAACACTTCACTCATCCATGTCTGAGTTGTCATGATGAAGTTCCGAGATCGAAGTTCGGACTATGTACAGAGAAGGTCTTGCGCTTCTGTAAAGATACATTTGAGAGCGACGGATGCTAGAAAGGTATCTGGATACACAAACGTTTCCTATGAATATACGTCGACCCATGTGGAGTCGGCTGGCTACCGTTTTTTTGGTGAATATCTGATCTATCGTCCGGGACCAATTAGGGCTACGGTACATTGTTGACGTACCAGTGCACTACTGATAATACGGATGGGTATTTCGGTTGTTCTGCTAGTGGTTGTGATACTGATGCATGTTGTTCGGTCTTTTTTCTTGTCCATTCCATCGGATGAATAAACTGTTAGTGATGTGCATTTTTCTTAATTCTGGAATCCATCGTTTCCTAGCCTGGACACTTATTAGGATGTAACCCAGTAAAATATCTTCCTAAACGCGTCACAGCTTCCAGCCCTATTGCCGCATTACTCGTGCAGCCAAATTGCAACTACCGCAGAGGCTACAAATGCGAACATTTTGTAATGTTTCTTCTTGTGGAATTCTTACGAAACACACTTTCGGTTTTATTCAAGTGATCGTGCTCCATTTTCCAACATTTGTTATTGTCGTCATGTTAACCTTCACCCGCTATATTTTGAACTTGCTTTGTGTTGTTGCGCTCGCAAGATGTACCCTTTGCAATGGCCATGTCATAAGAAGTAGATTGAAAAGAATTTAGGAGAAACTAAATAATTGTAGGAGAAAGTGTCGTACATGATATAGATCTGCTCTTCGGAACAAATAAAGAGAAGTATGCACATTCTCATCTTACTTACATCATACATATGTTATCTTCTGGGCAAATGGATGAATTAACTATTACCATCAACTCCCGGGAATATTCGCAGCTTGGCAGCATTTCGCTGCAAGGGACTTGGAGGCACCATAAGGTGGATGGTGCACGGGTATCGGTAGAATGCTTCATCTGTCACCGAGTCGACCTCTGCTACGCTTACGAAGCTGTGAATGTGAAGTTGTCATCTAAACAAAATTTTTCTGGTGCATATTAAGAAAATCGATAGTTTGAGTCATCTTGGCCATGTATTAGCTGCTTATTCGTGAGGTGCAAGCCAAAATGTATGTGTGTACCGTTCAATCCTACTTGCGAAATGCAATATTTCTCCAACGTGTTACAAACTCCAAGCAGGGACCTTTTACGATGAGTATATCACGACCGTCACAGAACCAACCGATTATTCTCTATATATTTTCCGAGTGAGTTAAATCGATTCGACAGCATATTTGTCACTTGCATTGTGCTACAGAATATCGTAAACTGTCCCTCCAGAACCAATGCCACCCTCGATTTGGTATAGATAAACAAAGTAAAACCACTCTCCGTGTGTCATAGGGCGCCGCTTGGTAGTTCGGATAACTCAACCGTTCGACTTTGTCCTTTAGTCTATTATAAGACAAATCATAGGAAGGCTACCCATTGAAACGGCTGCAAGTTCTGGTGGAGGCAGTGTTCCGCACAGAATAATGACAGATTACGATAAGTAATCGCATCCACTGACTTATGTTGATTTGTTGATGTTAATGTATCACAGTACTGGTATAAGTTGACCAGCTACCCGAAATTCTGTTTCGAGATTTACAGTTCATACAAAACTATTCATCTGTGTGGACAGGTTCTCCTCCCCCAACCTGAAGCAGCAAAGCAGCATAAAAGAAAAAGCTTTCAAAATAAAGGCAACATTACAGTAGAATCACTCTCTGTCCTCATAAAGTAGCAATTACGCGGTATCAACAACTTGTACATATAGGCGATACTTGGAAATACTAACTGTAGTGAACTCTGGAGGATATTGGAAAAATTCGTACGGTTACTTGACGTCCATCAACTTCTAACGTGGTGGTGAAAAAACCGGACCATAATTTCTGCAACTGCTACCTTAGTCTTCCGTTATCTAGCATAGTTTGTCAGAAGACTCGTTAACACTGGTTACGGAGACAATGTGCATAATGTGCTGAAGCAGCAGCAATCAGGAAAACCAATGGTTCTGGATACGCTGTCTCCTGTTGTCCCAAAGGAGTATTTCGAAATACTGCTGGCTCTCAGAGCTCGACCATGTCTCGATGATTGTTGCGATATCTCGATACTCTGGAGCCTAAATCTGAAGCCATCTAACTCAAGGACATGTAAATGCCCGTTGGTGCACAGAAAAGATGGTTTCTCGGTAGCCAAGAGTGAGTTGGTCGATACTGCATCAAAATTGGAAGTTGTACTGGCGGATAAGCAGTGGGCGACTAACAGTTCATTTTTGCAAAACCGTCGGTCTTTGAGAATCTGTCGGGTTTCATGGTTGTCTGTGGATCTTTTGGCCCTGATAGTCGTTACAAAGTGACCTGACCGATCAGACGTTGTGGATGCCACTGGGTCATTTCTATTTCATAATTGTACAACGGAATGATGCACTGAGTTAGTTGACCCGAATGAACCGTCAGCCAATCATGGCCATGCACTTGCTGATTTTAACCGAATTTCTGTCGGTCTTATCTTGTGGTGCTTCGCCCAGTGTTTCAAGATGAGTGATGCCATTATTTCAGACTGAAGTACCAATTTTAGCCGCCTGGGACCACACTACATGCAACTGGATGAAAGTGGTGTTCTTATTAATCGTTTACCATTGAGATTGTTGAGATAGAGGTTTTTCAGATGTAGTATTTTTGAAGCATCGCCGAGCTTGGCAAACAAATAAACACCTGAATGTGCTGACTGCTTGGCCAAAACCTCTTGACCAGATGGTTAAGCGGGTAGAGGTCCCAATGAACATCCCAATGATCACGGGTTCGATGCTTGCTATATCTGCCTGATGAAACAAATAAGCTTGAAACGCCCCATAGAGTGTAGTATTTTCAGGGGGTAAAACCCAGTATCTATCCGCTGCAGTGATATCGTCCCTCAATACACAGAGGAGCACTGTATCAACACCTCGAAAGCACTTCCCGGAAATGCGCTTCCATGGCGAGATGGTGCACTTCTCCTCATCTGTGAAGTACCTTAGTGCCGCGCGCAGCATAAAATGAATGAAAAGTTCACAAAATCCAGGAGGCTATTGTTCTATGCTCGACGTCTATCACCTTCCTCTGTTCCCCATAATCTGATAATTCGTTTCTTGACTGCATGTGCTCTTCCACACTAAACGTTTCGCTCTCCAGTGATTCTCATAGTCCACTTGGTAGGCACTTCGGATTATTCTCCAAGTCACCACAATACTAGTCGCTTGTGCCAAAACTGATTGTTGTTCATTTACCTGTGCCAACTCATGTTAGTTTTTGAAACAGGCCAGTATAAGCGATATTCACTGACAGAGATCAACCCTTCATTACGCATTATCGAAGGTGTCCAACATGTCAAGCAGACAAAAGTATACATTCATACAGGCTTAAGCACGTGTTAACCGTTTGTCAGTTGTTTCTTATGTAGCACGATTTCTTTTAGACACTGACAGAGTAGACCGAGAATTTATCATCCATAGGAAGTAGAAGTCACGATGCAAATACACACACAATAATGTGCCCCGACGCGGAATCGAACCCCGGTCCAACGAATTTCCGGTCTGCTGCTCTACCGTTGAGCTCTCGACGGCTGACGATTAGGTGCGCAAGTTTTAATGCATGACTTCTGCTTGGTGCGTGACTTATGTCCAATGCGCTCACGGTATCTGCAGTCTGCAACACCAGGACAGAACTGTTACTCCAACAAGCGCTCGTGCAGCATGTATGTGACTTTTGCCGGGTCAACAAGCGAATACGAGAGATAAGACAAAACAGTATTGCGATACGACGACGTGCGGAAGAATAAAATTCTGAATTTGGATAGAGTAGATGAGGAAGAGAGGGTTTTGGTAAGGTCATTGTGAAGTGGATGAAATCGGTCAGTTAGTATCTTAGAAGCAAAATCATTGCAGGCATCAAGATGTCTAGAAATGATCGAATCGACTAAAGGATCTCCAGACAAGCCGCTGCATTTAGAGATGTACTTTATAGATCGAAGCAATAAGATATAGCCTTTTGAAGCAGTCCAGAGAAAATGACCAGAGAGCAGTATGGCCGATGGAGAATAACACAAAAGGTCACAAACCTGACTATTAAAGTACGAGGAACTGAAAACACCTTAAGTCTGATGGTATAAAAGGAAAGGTTTCTGACTTCTTGAAAAGTTTTACAGAAATGCGCTTCCAGTATTAACTGACCTTGGCTCTGCAGCTATCTTAGTCTGCAAAAGTGGAAGACGCTGAAGCCAGTAGCACAAACTTAGAAACTGCAAATGTAGTTGACTAGATTGTCAGTCGGCTGACGAACCTGGCCGGTACGTGCCCTATTTCATTTAAAATTAATGGATCAAATGTAATCGCTCAGCTAGTTTCTATTAGGGGTTGTATAAGTCTGAAGATAAATAACTGAAAGCATTTGTTTACCTTTGGCCGTATGTTCTTGCTAATTAAACGAGAACTCCCGCGTTGTTGTAGTGTATTTTACGAGTAATAAACATCCATCCTATGAAGACCTTAAATTTAATCGGGATGCACCTGTTCATCTATATTTATTATTTGACAATGTACAAGACCTGAATACGTGTGCCCAAAAATTGACGGCGAAGCATTAATGTGTAATCTGACGATCGGTTAACCACTTAAAGCTCATACCATTCCCGAGAAACTTGCTTATAGTAAGTTCTATCAACCAACTCCATATAACAAGAAAATGCAGAATACACGATTTTTAAGCATTACAAATTTATTGTGAATAACTGAGCAAACGAGCAGATAGAGTCATGTTTTCGTCACAGACGTCGGATCATTTCGGTTATAAGGCGCACGAGATCGTTTGCACTGGCATTTGCAGCCTGCAACACTTGCTCGTGTGTTGTCACCGTCGACGAATGTATATCTGGGTTGCATAGATCGGTGACCAAAGATATGGCGAAGACCGTTATCCCACAGTGACGTGCGATGTGTACCTCAGGCACGGTGCTCATTCCTGAAGGACAAATGAGGCCAACGACAGTTGAGTTAATGCAAATGAGTATCACAATGACAGAATCCATAGAGTTGGGACAGAACGAGAATATTTAAGTGGTGATGAAGCATTGAGGAGGACCTATGTAATACTCTACATCGCAGCTAGGCTCTGGACATTCGCCTCGGCATTGCACACTTCTATGTGAGCTTACAAAGCCTATGGACACACACTGAATTAGTTCACATAAACCATGTTGATTTTCGAGAAAATTCGGAATTCGCTAAGACCTACCGACCACATCCGCCCCAGCAGTAATCATCAACCTGTTCTCCGCGTCGGTTGCATAGGTGGGACCACCGCATTGGAAATAAACACCCTCGTGTAGCCTATGAGATAAGCCACATTCTGATGCAGTTTGCTTCATAAGTTCTCGCAGTTTCGGGCAGTAGGCGTCCGACGTGGCTGGGAATCGTGGACCAAACCTATGGAATTCCATGACTAGAATTTCTCTGTTTGAACTCACTTGTCCTCGTTAGGGCCTACCAGAACGTTGTTCAATGATAGCCCAGCCAGACTGATGTGATCTTTGAGCATAACGAAATCGCCCACCTTCAGTTTTGCGCTCAAACCACCGGCCGCATTACTAAGGATCAACATCGACACTTCAAGCAACTTCAGCACTCGCAACGGCAGTGCAATCTGGGAGAAAACCAGTTAGCACGTTGACGCATTCATACCTCTCGGGCACTATATCCCTCGTACTGATGAAAACGCCCTTGCATAACAACAACCGGCTTGCCGCAAATGTTTCCAAACACCAGATTCCCAGTATGACCGGCCACTTGATACCATGGAGTGAAGAGAGGGAAATTTGGACTTACCAGTGACCTGTGGAAATCCTGGAATGGAGCTGTACGCAAGCACCACCTTCTCTGTCACCACATCTGCCAATTTACCCAATCCACTTCCACAAATGATGCCGATTTGTGGCTTCAGCTTAACCACTCCCCGTATGTGCGCAGCGATTCTTTCTACCTCCTCAAAGGTAACGCAGGCCCTGTAAGATTCGGAGTAGAAAGGTGAGCACCCTTTAGAATAGCAAACTTACATAATTCCGTCAGGAGTAAGTTAAAAATCCGGACGATTGTAAAGGTGCTACTATGACTTTCCTTAGTATTTTAGTGGGGGCTTCGGGATAGTTGAAGAAATAATGGTGAAAACTATCCTGCGGCTACACGTGGTCTGCTCACACAAATTGCTGGTTTGTTGCGCAGTGTGCATCCGTATTTATCCAGGCGAAACGATCACGCCTATCGTGTTTGAAGAAGGGAAAAATAGTTGTGCACGTGAATTGTGAATGACGCAAGTTCTAAACCTTAGTTTACAAGGGCCAATGTGAAATCATTGATTGCCGCTTTGTACTCGTACTCAGATATAGGAGCACTTCAAAGGTGTTGTATCTGGCACTGCAACGATGCAGTGCAATTTATCTGAAAGCTTTACGCACGCGCGGTGCGGTGTTATAGATAGCAACGCCAGTCTCAACAAAGAGATCGATTCACATGGCGAGCAGAACATACTTCGCCTCTGGGCCTATTGCATGTCTGTTTTGCAAAGACTACCGAGGCTCCACACGAAAGGTAAACTGCGACATTGTTTAAATACAATCATGACGTAACTGGAGAACAGTTAGCTCGAATGGCAGGTGCAGTCGAATAGACCGAATGTCTACTTTGCATGTTCAAACCTTCTGATAGGCCACATTTGGACGCATGCCCTAACTGCGCTGCCTATAAGACTGATACGATTAATAAGTGCTGAGAACACCGGAGAGTACGAGAGGCAGCTCCAGTCCCAAACTTGTGTGAATGAGGCACAGTGGCTTACGGAAGATACAATGCTTGAAATGACGGTACACGGTATCACAAGGGGTGCTTATTTATGGCAGCAATAATCATTTAAATTAACGATTGTGGTTTCTTCCCGAATTGCTATTATGACGTTTGCTAGTTATATTAGGCATAAAATCTACGTCATTACTCTAGAGTGCAAATAATTTTAAGAGCCACCCCGGTACGTCTCCGGACCTCTATAAAGTGGTTTGCTTGGGGCCCTTCGTGAATGATGAGATCAAGCATAGCTTTTCGTTTATTTGCCGATGCTCCTGTTTCGCGGAAAATAACTGAATGTACACCGTTCTAGCAACCTCAGTAGCAGACGTCCCCGGTAGTAAACTACGTCTTGGCACATCCGTTTCCGCTTCCAATGTGCGGAAGGATGTTTGCATAATTCCTTCGTTCTTGTCGGTTTAAGTGTGTTTGTCATCACTTACATCGCAGTGTCTCAGTTCATAGTCCCTAAATTGGCGGAGTCGCTAACGTAACACAGAAAGAACGAGCAAACTAATTGAAATGACGTGATGATGCCATGCGTAGGAAATGAAATAACGGCAGCGACCCTGCAACCGGGGAGGTGCTAGATGAGGATTCATGAGCAATGATAATTCGCTTCGAGGTAAAAGTTCCGCACATTCCGAGACTATTTACAATGTTACTTTCTTTGATTAAGGCTGACAGATACCCGATAGGTTTAGCTGCTATTCCATCTCGTCAGCGTCGTAGCCGTGTGATCTTACAATTACTTATCACTTATTCATCATATGCAATTGTTCCTAATTGTACAGCCGTGTGCTTTGACGTTAAATAGGTCTACGGCGCTGCTCCTATGACTGGCGTTGTATATGTACTGCCTTGTAAATGTGTTGTACTATACCGATTGATGACAGACCGTGTGGTGTTTCCAGTTTCGCTTTTGTTCCGAACTGATAGATTGGGTTTGAATACACATGAGCGGATTGTTGTCAACATGGATAAGCACACCCCGCTAAATCCCTGGTTGCTGCTTAAAGAGCCTTCGTTCGATTGTTTTGGAGTCCAGCTGAACTGTCGATACGCAGGAATAACAACTACTTCAACGCAGCTTCCGCAATGAAGGTGACATTGGGTAAACCTGACGATGGGACAGTAGAAACAGGGAGAGTCATTGGGCCAGTTACCCTCTGGAATGTATGTGAGTAATCGAACCGTAAGAGATATGCAGTGTCCGTTGCTGATCGCATGTACCCGCCAGAAGCAACTGCTGCTGGGTTTCCACTCTGCATCACACGAAGGCCATTAACATGGGGGTATAAGTTTGCTGAACCTGATGTTGCATCCATGATGCTTCTTCACTGCATTTGGGCTAAACCAAATTACGCTTAAACTAGGTATTTTTAAGCTGAATAAAATCTATTCCACTTTATTTGGTTTGTTCTGCCTACCTGAATAATCTATTAACTTGCACACGTTGCTTACGCTAATTGTGGTTATCTTCGTTAACTTTTTCGCGTTTGTGGCATGTTTTGAATAACTTGTGGACATTTTGCACTTATCGCGGATTCGTTGCTAACCAACTTACTTCATATGCTAATTTAGCGAAGAGTTACGTCGGCATAGCCGTATGCTTTAACAGATATATTTTATTTGGTAATGTCATTTCATGTGATTGGCTGTTGTTTGATATCCCCGGTGTGTCTGCGCTTGATGTGCATGTTGACAAGGTGCCTACCTGTCTATTACCCAGTACCTCGTCCATACTGGCTCCAGGAGACATTTGATCATTGCTGGAGGGGACGGGGTGCACGGTCCTTGTGGTCGTGCTAGGCTCGAACAGTGGATCCACGCACTCAGTGTGGAGCGGACTACGGTCCAGTCACCGCCTTGTGTGCGCTTGCTTCCCAAATACAGCGTGCTTGTGTTTGCCTGTGAAGGAGTGTGGGCCGGCTCCGTTGATGAAACGTGGCTCCCATCCACATGCCTCCCGATCTTATTCCATCGGGTTTTCACTGGCATATGGGGTGTGTGGATGGAACTGTGGGTGATGTAGCGCAAGACATCCATGGTCCCTCTGAAGGCGCAGGCGTCCTGTGGCTGGCCACAGTGACAGTCAAATCCGAAACCGGATGCCGTCAACCATAATAGTTTGCTGTTCTTGCAGAATCGCTTCATTAGCTTATGCTGATACGCAGCGGAGCATTTTCACACACTTCCTTCATACCAGGTACGCAATCTATGTTTCAACGGTAGGAGATTCCCTGTGAGCTCTGCACGTCAAGTCACTCAAGGACGTGCATTTACGTATCCTGTTTCTCAGAAATGACTTGCTTTTACTTTGGTGATGGAGGAATTGCATTTCAGATGCATGCGATACCAGTTTGCTAAACGTTGTTGCGAAGGTTTCCCAGGTATCTCCTGAGGGGTGTCCACTTAATAACGTCCAAGATACCTACTTAACAAGCGCGAGAAACGTGCTGTAGTGCATGACATTGTACAATCTGCGCTCCTCTTCTTCAGGATATTCCGCATAGCATATGTTGTCAAACAATAGACGTAACATCCTGTAAAGTTTCTCGGTTCATCTTTCATTTCCGATCGTCATAGCACAAATTAATATCTCATCATACACTTAGGCAATCGGCGTTGGGTGTCGAAGTGTGTGCTGAGTTCGTTTGTGTAAATCGACCGCCCAGTTTTGCTGGGTGCCTCCGCTACACTCCATCGTGCAAGTGCTGTGGGTGCTACATCACCCAGTTTCGTCCAGCTGGCAAAAGCGTCGGTTTTGCCTTGCGCCTGGGATGCAGGAAGCCTACGATTGTAAAAGCAAATGCTTGTCCCTGCATCCACATATCATTCGGGACAGTAATTTCCACTCCCGCAGACATGATGATTTGCATAATGCAAGCGCCAAGTCAGAAAACAGTGCCCCAAGAGTGAAACAGTTTCACCATCTGTCGTGTTCAAATAGCTTGCTTTGTTTCGTCCTCGATTCGTTTATCCTACTCACACTCCTATTTAGCACTCGTTGGCCTATCACGTGATCTTGCAATAGATTGGTTGCAATGTGAACCTCTATCGATTTAATTGTACCTGGCGTGTGTGCGGACAGTTTCCTCCATACATATGTTCCGGTGCTACTCCGGTCTGCTGATTTGTTAAGGTAGAACAAATTGGCGTCGCGTGTTACCGATGTCTTTGCTTGCTAGCTTCACTGTTCTGGACTGACTCTGCGGTTACCTCAAATGCAGAATGTTGGGAAGAATGGAAAATTAGTTTTTCAGCATATATTTCTGTGCTACCAGATCTCCATCCATCCGTGACACTGAAAACAAAGGATCCTGTAATGCTTTTGCGCTGATACATCGGCTCAAAGTGTCGACATAAATTTGATGCTATAAACTTGCGGGAGAAACTCACATTGACAGAGGCCATATCGGCCCCCGATAAAAATTGGAGTGTTTGAGGAAACCTCTACAGTTCATGGGCTTTCGATCAAGCGGACTGTAGCTGATTCAAATAGAAATTAGGTGTTGCCCGCCCGAAAACACTGCACTACTATGACGCGTTTCGATGTTATTACATCTCATCAGATAGAGTTAGCAGGCATCGAACCCGGGACCATAGGGATGTTAGTTGTGACCGCTACTCCTAAGCCACCGGGTCACGGGCAACGCTTGACACAACGGTATAATGAACGAGGTTGAGGGTCATTTTGAAGTACATGTTGTGTGGATGAATTGCGACACGCAATCGCAATGTTGACCGCGATTCCCATTGAAGTGAACCTTGGGCTTTCGCTCACAAGGACCGTCGCTGATCCTAATAGAAATTGGTCTCGTTTTCGATGCCTGTTAACTCTATCTGATGAGACGTAATAACTTCGAAACGCGTCACATTAGTGTAGTATTTTCGGCGGGCAACACCCAATTTCAATCATCTACGGTCCTAGTGATCGAAAGCCCAACGTTCACTTCAACTGAAATCGCGGACAACGTTGCGACTGCGTGTCGCAATCCATCCACATAAGGCGTACTTCAAAATGACCCTCAATCTCGTTCACTATACCGTTGTGCCAAGCGTTGCCCCTGACCCGGTGGCTTAGGAGTAACGGTCACAACTAACTACCCCATGGTCCCTGGTTCAATGCCTGCTAACTCTATCTGATGAGATGTAATAACATCGAAACGCGTCACAGTAGGGCAGTGTTTTCGGGTTGGCAACACCCAATCCCTGTAATTCTTGGTACAATCTTTCGCAGCTGAAGCAAGCATCTGGGGAATCAGTGGATCCATTCATTTCCCTTCTTGTTTGTTTTGTTCGAAATTGTGACTCCAATGGTGTTCCCAAGAAGAAAGTGAAAGAAAACATGCTAACACAACAATTGATTTCTGGTCTCACGGATTCCCTGATCAGGGAG